TCTGCGTAACACCTACGTCGACAACGTCTTCCATGGTGTCAACAGTGTGACTGAAGGAAAACAATTCTACATCGAATCAAAGACCCTCTTTCGTCAAGCAGGGATGAATTTGCAAGCAATTCAGAAGAAGATTAACGACTTCTTCGAAAAAGAAGAAAGTGAAACGGTTCCTGAAATGCAGAAGCTTCTTGGAATCCAATGGAACATACGCAAGGACCAGCTGTCAATAGCGTTGCCTCAAAAACCGTCGAACAACGGCATATGGACCAAAAGGAAAATTTTGAAAGAAGTCGCCAGCGTCTTCGATTGTTAGGCTTCCTGACTCCATCCACCCTCATTGGAAAGCTGTTTCTCCAATCACTGTGGAAAGTCGATATCGGATGGGACGACACACTCCCAATACAACAAAATGATCAATGGCAACTAATCACCAATCAATGGACAAATTCTTCACTGCAACTTGATCGGCTCATCGTCCACCCAGAAAGCCTTACTACGTCAGATGTCGACCTCCATGTATTCACCGATGCCTTCGGACATGCTTACTGTGCTGTTGCATATCTCGTCCATCACAATCACAACCAACCACACAAGGTCTCACTTCTGGGCAAAGTCAAGACTAGCCCCACTTCGTCAGTCAGTCACCATCCCTCGTTTGGAATTGTCAGCCATTGCTGTTGGAGCCAAACTGCTCACATTTATCGCAGAACAACTCGACATCCCAGTTCGCCGGAAATATCTTTGGTCCGACAGTACTGTTGCGTTGACATGGATCAAGACGAACAAGACCCTTCCCGTGCTTGTTCGAAACCGAGTCAAAGCAATCCGCGAATTGACCACCGACGTTAATATCCACTACGTCCCAACCAGTGAGAACCCGGCAGGCATTGGTTGCCGCGGAGCGACAATTGTCGAACTACAAGATTTGAACCAATGGTGGAAAGGACCAACCTTCTTGGCGCAGGACGAAACAACTTGGCCCCCACACTACGAGCAAATCTTTCCGATGGAAGACCCCGCATCTCAAAAACACAAGGATCACACCCAAACGACAGCAACAGCGACCACAGAACTTCCTCCTGAAGAATTCCGCTGCTAGACTCATCACGATTCAGCATATGGTTCTCACTACTCGCTACAATGGTCATCGCGCTACGTTTCATTATCTACAGGTCTAAAATGGCAGCTTCGTTCTTCGGACAACCGTGCAGCCCTACAGGTCAGAGCAGAACGTATCCTATTCCGTTTCGCACAGCGACAATGCCCACCGTCTGCTAAATTGCAAAATCAACTCCAACTCTTCGTCTGTGAAAAAACACACCTCCGGAAATCTCGAGGACGGATTGACAACGCTCCTTTGCCGCTAGAGACGGGAACTCCCATCTTCCTTCCCAGTAGAAATCGCATCACTGACCTCTTCGTCCTGCATGTTCACTCCCAAAACAACCACTGCGACATTAGTCACACCCTCACGGAATTACGCCAACAAGTATGGATTCCCAAAGGCAGAACAACTGTGAAAAGGATACTCAAGAACATCTGCTTCTATTGCAAAAGATTCACTTCAAAACCGTACAAGCTGCCGCCGTTCCCGACGCATCCTATCAACAGAGTCACCCAACCGCAATATCCCTTCCAAAATGCAGGGATGGATTTTTTTGGACCAATGCTTTACCGAACTTCAGATAATGTGACCGAGAAATACTGGATCCTCCTTCTCACATGCTTGAACACTCGAGCAATTTACGTCGACGTAGCCTCAACATGAGCAGCAACGCAGTACTCCATGTACTGCGCCGATTCATCGCCAGTGTTGGTTGCCCGTCATGGATACTCTGCGATAATGCGCAATCCTTCAAAACAATTGCCGAATGCTATTCGACGTTGCCCGAAAGCCAAATTGACGACAATATCATCGACTACTGCTCAAAAAAGCGGATCCCAAATCAAGTTCATCCCAAGCCTGAGTCCCTGGCAAGGAGGCATTTATGAAAAAATGGTAGACGTTTTTGAAAAATCCTTCAAACACTCCGTCAAAAATCGTCTCCTGCATATCGAAGATATCGAGACTGATGAAAGAAGCAGAAGCCATGGTGAACACCAAGCCGTTAACCTACGTTACTGATGTCAACCATCTTCCACTTCGCCCTATTGATTTCCTCCGCCCGCATGCACAACCTGCTGGTCCCTACCCCCAAGAAGTCAGCGAAGAATGGACTCCAACCACAACGACTCGAGACACACTTCTAAAAGAGTGGACACGCACCTGTGAATTGCTATCCGCTTTCTGGGAACGCTGGACTACGGAGTACCTCACCTCCTTGCGATAGCAATACAAAAATGAGCATCGCACCCCAAGATCGCATGAAGATGGTCCACCCAAAAAAAGAGACTACGTGCTCATCCATGACCTAGATAGTGGTCAGTGGAGAATTGGACAAATCGTCGGATCTTGGGACGAATTCAGGAGGTCTGTGGAAATACGACTACCTTCCAAGAAGGTCATCACGCGTCCGCACAATTTGGCGTATAAACTGGAAATACACTCTATGGATTCGACGCCCTCACCCAAACAAGAAACGCCACCTTTATTCCCAACTCATCCGATGATCACGCGGTCAAAAGCAAGACTCCTTTCCGCTCCTGTTCTTCTCACATTACTAACATGTATTCTGCTGATCAATGCAATGCATACCCGCTGTCCTGACGAGATGAACACTAACAAAGTCATCCTCTACGCCACGACATGTGTAAGCACAGTTATTGCTATCGCAAGGTTCAACAAATCTACGAAAGAGCAGTTTGTTGGTTCCCAGTTACTTGCCCTAAAGGTGCTATAAGATTCGAAGGCCCAGAAAAACCAAATCTCTCACTCTGTGGAGAACAATGCAAGTGCCCCGCTCGGTCACAATCTTGCTCTTTTTCAAACAACTGGAGAACTGCAATGTCAAACGTTGACTCGATACCACGCAGTCTTCTTCATTACCGTCCGCCACATGTGTGCTCATTCGAGAGTTCATCAAAATGCGACTCCATCAAGAAAATCGTTACGTTCAATCAAATACAGCTCTTCGACAACACTACGTTCATTGTCGAAGCACTCATCCTCAGCATCCAAGACTACATAGACCAGAACTACTTCATTTGCGTAGACCGCAAAGGATGGATCAGACGCGTTGCTCGAAGAATTACGGACACATCACGATTTTGCGAAAAACATGACTGTTGAGGAAATGCCCAGCTCTTTTGCGCCTACGACAACCCTGTCGCCGTCTTCGTCACCGTCCACAAGGTGGCAATTTTATCCCACTACAAGCAGATCTTACACTTTCAGTAATGGAGTACAATTATGCAAAATTTTTTTAAATTTAATGACAAAACTATATTTATCCCTTATAGATATATGGATGACCTCTTAATTATACATAATCAAAGTGAGTTTGTATTAGACTCAGAATTAGATAAAGTATATAAACGCAAACTTGAGCTCAAAAAAACACATGTAGTTGACAACTGTAGTAATTACCTTGACCTAAAAGTTTACGTACATAATGACAGAATATATACAGAGTTATACAGTACAGTACATGAACCTCACCATTCAACTCCTAGTGGTCGATAACCTACAATGATATTTTCGGCAAAAGATTTCGTTCTAACTTAGCGAACTATTTTTCATGGAAAGTTTTTTTTTGTATCAAAATTATGTGGCACTTCCAATGGAAATTTTTTCGTTTTGTCGCCAGACAGTGGCAAACCCCATTTAGAAGACCAGCATACGATAGCACTTAATTAGGATCGTCACCAGTCTGGCCTTGTGCCTAACGCTGGAACTAAAGTCGATACCTACAATTTTCGTAGGGCATTTATTGCCCACGCCAGGGATTGAGCCCTGGTGCCTTCAAGGGTTCAGACGCGTGCCCAGACTCTTATACATTTGTGATCCCTATTTCTGCCAACAAAGCTTCGAAAAATGGCTTCACACTAACTCCACTCCAACGGGAAGTCCCCCTGCCCGTTCTTCCGCTCCTTCCCTTTTTCCTTGGGTGCTGGTGGGATCTCTATTTCCCTTTCGTATAACCGGAACATTCCACCAGGTCTCATGCCTTGTTCCTTGCTGAATCTCCACTCCAACGAGAACTCCCCCTGTCCCTTCTTCCACTCCTTCCCTTTAAGTCGTCAAGTATTTATTAATTATTATGCGACTGATTGTATAGCAAAGATTAGCCCTTTTCTTGAGAGTTAGCGCTCCTTCTTCTGCAATTGGTACCCACCTCCTTTCACAGTCGACGTTGTCGTGACCAAGCTGCTCTGATTATCTAACGGATGCATTTCAGAGCAAAGGAATTGTCTTGGTTAGCTACGATGAATCCTGTTCATCGCACAACTTGTGTGTTCTTCCCAACAAATGGCTCGGTGAAAAGGAAATCGAGGCGGAAAGGTGCGCCTTACTATGCTTTTTACAGATATTTTGACCTCACAGGTGCATGTACTATAGCCAGTGATACAACCACTTAAAGCAACAGTCCAGGCAGGGTTTCAACCATTTGGTTTTCAAGTGGTGGAAACATGCCTCAGCCTGATTGGAGTTCATGGGAAATGTCACAAACTTCAAAACTTACCTCTGAAAGGCGTTGGAAGCAGTCGAAATCCTTCAAGAGGGGCGGATCCACCGATCCGTGGTGGGGCCGCCTCCAAGCAGCTGTGCAGAGCGCTTGCTCGACTAGCGGTCGTTGCGGGACCGCCGCGCTGTATGAGGTCGATTCCATAAGAACGCAATTGAAGCGCTTCAATTTCGATTGCTGGCAAATAGTTATGTATTTGCAAGCATGCATGGCTATTTGCCAGCAGTTGCAATTGGAGCGCATGTACTACGGGCAGGTTCGGACAACTCGTCCAACACACGTCTCCCTAAACGGCAGGGGGAGTCCCTGTCTAAGCCCCTGCCCGACGTTTTTTTCTACTTTTTCTTTCTCCATTGACCAACTTCTCACCTGCAACGTCATTATAGGTGGTCCTTACCCGCGAATTCGTTCCTGGATTGTTGCTTTAAAGGGGGTTTCCACGATAAACTCGGAGATCGTTGAAGAGAAAGCCTTCTTAGTGAAGGATTGGCATCTTCTTATGAGCACATGTCGACATTCCTTATCTTTTTTTGATATGAAAAGGCTTCGGCCTGTAAATCGGAATTGGTTTCCTTTAGAGCAGAGGGAATAAAGGATTCTTCAAGGAAGGACAGCGAATTTGAATTTCTTAAATGTAAATTGTACCATGTGGAATTAACGGCTGTGTTAGGAAAGGGGTTTTTAGGATACTCTTGAGTTCTGTTTTACTGGTGTGGTTCGTTTGGTACGAAACATTTTTTTTGGTGCAGAACTCCAGGTCCACTCGTGATCGGCGCTGCACCTGAGGCTCCTGCAGCAAAAAACGTTCTCCTTTGCGGAACGCGAAAAGTTCGTTTCTGTCCTGGTGTGGCACACCCTGGTTTCACTACAACCATATCCCTGCTTCGCTCTTGACGTATATTCCTTAGAGGAAGCCAAGACACTTTCAGGTAGTACATAGAATGAACATGGAACTGGAAACCTATGATGAACGCGCATTTTCAAGTCTTGACCGGAGTTTTACGATTTATCCTTTTCCCTGTTCCCAAAAGGGTCTTTCTCGGTATTTTCTGAACATCTAGTCTGCCTCAGGATGCCATTACAATTGAGAATGCAAGCGTGGGTGATGCTACCAAAGCATATGTATAAATAAATCAGTACCGATCACGCTACCCCTACCCCTTTATGCCTTATTCTTCCCATTCCTAGGCGCTTGACAAACTCCTAATAAAACATTGGTTGAGCGCTTCAATTATGAAGCAGAGAAGAGTGCGTTTGACAGGGAAACAAATTCACTTCTTTCTTATGCTGGGCGATCCAAAGTTTGCTGTTGATAAAAACTGTTGTTTCAAAAATATGGAGGCAAAATGAGGGAATTTGTGCTTCCTGTAACTCACAGGAATCGCTGAAAATGTTTAAAAAATGGATGGCACACGCTTACAATTTCGGTGTGTTCGAGGAGTACACCATTGCCTAGCCCATCTCCTCTTTGGGAGCTGATATCGATGGGCTCCGCCTATTTGTGAAGCTGGAGAACATGGTTTTCGCTCTTCATGTGCATGTTCATTCACTTGGTGCAGTCTTCCTTAGTTCTCTTTTTGTAAAAAAAAAGGAACAAGAAGCGCACATTACCAGTGGATCAGGTCAGAGCCCCACTATGACAGCCGAACGCGGTGAAGCTTTAGTATAAGTGCATGTGTGTTGAGGGGGAGTGTATTACAGCAATATTTATAGCCAGTTCTGATCACATGTACGATCCGTGAACAGGTTCCTAGAAAGCTGTCTTCGTCTTGGGGTTAACGGAACATTTAGAGGGTGGCCAAAAGTGTAGCCACTTTTTTGAGTGCAAACTTCGAGATAGATATGCGATTGGCAAATCAACTCCACTGCAACATGAGCAACATGTTCAGCTGTGTAATCACCTAAAAGTAAAAGTGCTCAAAGTTTCACTCTGCACGACGCAAGTCTTCAGCTGCCTAGCGACATAGTCAACAGTGCGCCGTTGGTAGTCGAAGTCGATGATGTCTCGTACTTTCTGAAGCGTCAACATCAGAGCATCTACCGAGCAGTAGAAGCACTTGTTTCCCGAAAGTTTCACATAGAAAGTGAGAAAGTAACTCAATCTCTCGCTCTGGTACCATTAAGTGCGAATCAAAAAAAAGAC